ACACACGGCCCGTGGCCCCCACACTGGCGAGGCTGGGGGCAGTAGGTCTGGAGTGAGGGGCACTGAGTCGGGACTGGCCATGGATTTTTACAAATGAGTCCTGGTGCAAAAATGGTTGAGAACCAGATACCTAGGCCACCCCCTGCCTGAGACAGGACCAACCCCAGGACTCTGGGTCACACATTGTGAGGCAGAGTCCTAGAAAAGTAGGGCTGGAAGGGACTGCTATAAGTCATGTAGTTCAACCCCTCCCCTAGGATCATCCCTCTTCAAACCATCCCATACAACCCTAATCTAAACTCAACCCAAGACTACCTTCGGGCCAAAACTCTGTAAAAAATCAAGAGATTGGCATGCAAATCATGAGATGCTATTTTTGAAGTGTGTTTGTGGGGGGTTATTTGGGACAGTGTGGGGGACTGTGGGTGTGTGTGTGTGGGGTTGGAGGGGGGGGGGAGGGTCCCTGCACACCCTGGCGGGATGCGGGGTACAGTGGGTCAGGAGTGAGAGGCAGCAGTAGGGCTTGGGAGTGGGGCAGATGCACAGACAGCACCCAGCTGGTAAGTGGAGGGGGAGGGGGGAGATTGAGGTCCCCACGGTGAGAGAGGGAGAGGAGCAGGGGCAGGAGTGAATGGGACCCTGGGGCTGGGGTGGGTTGTCCAGAGCCATGGGGGGAATGCAGCTCCCCGCAACTGTGGGCACCCCCAGGGTGGTATGGGGGGCAGGTGCCCCCCACAAGACAGAAGTGGGCTGCCCACTGTGGGGTGGGGCTCTGCGCCTTGCTGCCTCTTCCCTGGGAGCTCAGCTGTGCAATGCCATTGCTGCCTGCTGGGCAAGCAGCGGACACAAGGCACACTGGCTACGTGGCACATCCCCTGCCTGCCCAGTGGCATGAAGCACAGTGGCATCATGCGGCTGAGCTCCCAGGGCAAGGGCAGTAGGGTGCAGAGCCCTAGGTAGGCCTGCCTCTGCCCCATGGAGGGCACCTGCCCCCATGCCAACCCCAGGGGTGCCCACAGCTGTGGGCAGACGCATCCTCCCCCTGCACCTCTGGACAACCCACCCCTGCTCCTGCCCCACTCCCTCCCTCACCGTGGCAGCCTCTTCCCTTCACCCACCCCACAGTTCCCCCTCCACAAACTTACTAGCTAGGAAAATCCAGAGATCTGAGGGTTTGATCCGGAGATCGCGACTTGGAGTTATTTTGACTTAGAAATCCCATCTTGCAATGGTTTCGCAACAGTTGGCATTACTGCACAACACAGATCAAATACCCTACCCTGTCACAGACAAAGTAGGGGAACCACAGCAACCAATGTTCTGCTTCTATGAAACACTATTAGTATATTCTCAAGAGATCCCAAGGCAGAGGGCCACGTCCGCCTCTACAGAGGAAAGCAAAACCTTCCCCACAGTCTGTAGTAATCTGGCCAAGGGGTGAAATTCCTTCCTGGTCCCAAATATGGTGATGGGTCTGCCCCTCTCTAGATTCCCTTTGCCCCTCTTCATTCCTGGTTAAGAAACTGAAGCTGCTCTTCGTGGTGCCTGGTTTGCCACAGGGCACGTGCTGACTGGTAGTGAGGTTGAACCTTCATTTCCTGGCCGGATTGGAGTGGTCAGGCAAAAACTGACTGGAACATTGGTTCCCCCTTGTGGTCTCAAAACCAGAGCTATTGCCCTTTTTGACCATGTGAAGGCTGCTGACAGTTTAAAGCCAGAAGGGTCCATGTAGGCCATGGGTGTCAACCCCAGGTCCTGGGCTGGATCCAGACCTGCAGGGGCTCTCCCCAGGCCAGATCTGTGGGTCTGCGTTTGGGTGGCAGTGTGAGTCTGTGGCAGGTGGCAGCTTGGGCCCAGAGGAACAGACCCACATTCCTGCAGCACAGAGCTGGGGGCATGCCACTGCAAGGAGCCTGGGGGGGCATGCCACTGCAAGGAGCCTGGGGTGTGTACTGGCACGGAGCCCTGGCCAGGCAGCAACATGGAGATGGGGGCGTGCAGCAACGAGGTCTTATTTGACCAGAGCTCTGCACCACTGCACGCTCCTAGCTTGTCAGAGACACATATCCATGGCTTTGCACTGCACAAACAGGGCTCTGTACAACTACATACCCTCAGGCCCATGCTGTCACATGCCCCGGCACTGCTGACTGGACAGTGGCATGGAGCTGGAGGTGTGCAGGTGCACAGAGCCACATTCATGAAGCCACACAGCCCTAACTTTTTGCTACTGCTCAGAAGCATTGAGTACTGTCTGGTTGGCAGCAGCTGGGAATGTTTGGCAACACTGAGCTGAGGGTCAATGTACTTCTGGTAGCCCACAGAAGTACTGCTGGGCTGGATGCAACGGTTCTGTGCGCTGGGTCTGGCCAATGGGCCATACGTTTGACACACCGGATGTAGGCTGACTTTTTGTATAGCACAGGTGACAGAATTTCAGCCAAATTTCTGTGAGGCCCATCACTTGGACCCTGTTTGAAAGATTACTTCCTGTGCCTAAGATGTTTAACTCTACTTTTCTATCAGTGATGACAAGAAGGTTCTGTGTATATACGGTGGTTAGCAACAAAGATTTCTTTTCAGATTGTATTGCATAAGAATATACTTTAGAAGTGTCCAGTATCATCCTTCTACCCACAAAGTATCCAGATTCTCTCTACCCACCCCCTCATTCCAACTGAGCCAGCTACTTTCTCCTCATTAAGGGTATTTTTTCACTTTTGGAGACAAATTCATGGAATCACACTGGTTGCTGTTCTGTATAAATAGGCAGCAGCAGTAACCTCCAGTATTGCTATATAAAGACACAGAAAGAACAGTGTCTTACTTGATGTCCTATATGCAAAAAGAGACTAAACAACAAACAACGAACAACTTGGTCGGATCCCATTCTGCTTACATCCAAGTTACTTCAACTTTTCAACTCTCATAAAAGAGCAACTGTCCCCAGAATAAGGGCTTGCCAACATGGGACATTTTTACATGTTATAATGGTATAACCCCAGACTCCTATGTGACAACCCCAGACTCAATATGTGACAACTAATTATAATGAGATAGCTTTTTGTTTACATTTAGTTTAAATTGAATAAAAGCAAAGCAAAACAAAATATCTCCTTGTTTAGATGAAGCCAAATTCAGTTTGAGAAACTAAAATATACAGAAGTGGAGCACTGTTTTTTATCATATATAAAATCTCCCCCTGATTTGACTTTCACAATTTGCTTCATCTTTTTTTTTTCAGTTATCCACTTCTATAGAAAAAAATCCTCAATATTAAAGTGGTTAAGTAACTTTCATTTAGCCATCTTTACACAAGACAAGTTATAGCAAACCAAAAGCATTCAAAGTAAAAACAAAGATAATTTATTTTTATTTATTTCTTTTTAAAAGAAAATATCAGAATATTAAAAAAAAAAGTCTTTAAATCAGAGATTAGTGGACAGGGACTGCATTAAACTGGACACGTTTTCAAATCACAAATCTCCAAAATACATTTAAAATTTAAAATTTAATTGGAAATACAAAAACTGTGCTAGGAGGTCAAGAGGTAAGGATTTCTGAGTGATATTTTTTTATTGGACCAACTGCATGAAGCAGGACCTGATGAAGAATGGTTTGCATTCAAAAGCTTGTCTAACGTTATCCCAACTATGCAGTTGTTCCTGTAAAAGAGACCACCCACAAAATCCTTGCCTCTCATAATTCCTGGACCATCACAGCTACTAGATCATTCCAAAACTAGCAAAGATCTCCATCATTTATGAGGCTATGTTGCAAAAAAATTTTGTGGCATAATTTTCTTTTCACTTTTTAGTCTTAGCAAGTCATCCATTCCAATATCCTGTGTGCAAACAATCTCTAGTAAAATCACTTTCTTTTAGATGACATCAACTGCAAGACTCCCAGCTAAATTCAAAACATACGTTTTTTAAAGAATATGCTTTATTATAAAAAAGTGCAATTTTCTGTAAAACTATTAAACAATAAATTTATAGTACAGCCATTGGAAGGAATCAAATCAAAGACAAGTGTATGCTTTTCCTCTTTTCACATTCACATCTTAATCAACAAAAATAAGCATACTGTACACTTATATTGATATACACTAATGAAGTAACAATAACTTCTCTTGAGATTACATTAGTGAGTTGTCCATTTCAAAAGATAATTTTTTAAAAGTTGGTATAATGCTTACCTAGGTAAAGTTGCTGCAACAGTCAAAAATGAAAATGTTTCTGATTCAGACCCATTTTGGAAACCCAAACGAAATACATTCAGCATT